GTTTTGTTTTATTAGGATGTTGCGGGGTCTATCCCAACATCCATCTCAGTGTTATGGAGGCTTCATAGACAGTCAGTCAGTTAGTTTTGAGTCTCTTATCTATGTATATATGTAAATATTCTATTTTGAGACTCGAGTTGCCTTTTTGGCCAGTTATGTATCAGTTAAGTTGTTTATGTCTTTGCATGTCATTGAGTTTTCTGTTGAGTCAGGTTTCCGCTGAGTTAAGAAAGCCAGGCCAAGGGTTCGCTTGGGGCCAGCAATGGTCTCCGAGTGCCGGTCCCGCCCAGGGTGTAGGCTCGGGGCGTGACATATAGCTTATTCGGATTGGCTGATTTTTAGGTGTGTTTAAGCTAAAATGGTTTTTTAAGTATTTTTGAAGTGTTTGGCTAAAATTAGAAGTGCTTTTAAGCATTTGTTTTTAAGTCAAAATAGTAAGTTATGGCTTTTGGCTTATAAACCAATAACAATAAGCCAATCCAAACGATAGTCAAGTTTTCATTTACATAAAAAAAAAAATTGCCCCAAATCAGCAAACAATAAAAATTATCTTCAACAAAATTGTCATATATATGTATATATGTAATGTATGGATGTGTATATATAATGTATAGATATTGCATAAATAGTGTACTCGTGTACAAATGATGTATAACTATATATCAAAGATGTATATACATTGTTGATACAGTAAAGTATACAATGTAGACTATTTTTTTCTCCAATCCCAACCAACTTGAATCTCCTCTATACAATCTCAAAATTTAGATATGAGCTTCTCTCAATTTTTAATTCTTTCAATATATTATTCACTTAAAATAATTCATGTTTGCAACAAATCTAGCTCGTAATTTGTTTGATAATTATGCACGATATGAGAACTTTTAAATCATGAATCGACAAAAAGTTATAGAGGTGATTTCTATGATAATCAGCTCACATACATTTTATTGAAAGACAATCCTTACTCCAAGAAGCTAGCTATCACTAAATAAGCAAAAACTATCATTATTTTAAATGCTTGTGTTGCACCGCCAGAGTTGAGTTTCATGGAACAACTCATTTGCAAATTCGTTACTGCCACCTAAATAATCTAATTAAAGAATATTTTATAGGATGCGAAAATATACAAATTTGAAGGAGTTAAAATAATTACATGAAAGAGAAAAAAGGGGCGAAGACAAAGAATTAATAAGACTATATATATAGAAAATAATGAACAAACAATTGAACTAAATTTAGCTAGTACAATGATCAAATGGTTACTTTGGATAGTAAACTAATAATTTGACTAATTTTAATCGTGTTTATCCTTAAAATGGGTCAAATGTTATCTTCTTCCAAGTAAGTACACAAATAGACTTGGTTTTTTTATCCTAAAAGGAGTCGTCCTTTGTTTTTTCACAACGTAATATCTTTCACTCACAATTTAATTCACAATTAGTAATGATTTTGTTCGCAAAATAATCATACTACATCTTGATACAAAGTCTTCGCTATTGTCTCTATCATATTGCTATTTTTTCAGTGCCAAATATAATTATTATTGGGCTCGATCTATTCACCAGATAATCAACGCTTATTGTAATTTTAATTTTCCCCATATTTTAATGTTCAAGAAATCTAAATATATTATGATTTAAAATAAAAGATTAGTCAAGGTAGAAGAAAAAATATATGATTAAATACACTAGCTATTATAGTAAATTCAATATTTTTTGCATCTATTGCAACAACAGATGCAATATCTATTGAAACATATTCAACAATCGTTGCATATGTTTCAACATTTACTACAACAATTATAAAAATAGATATAATAATTGTTGTACAAATACAACAAATATTGAATCATGTGCAACCGTTTTTGAAGCAGATGCATCGATTGTTGTCATATATTCAACAATTACATTTGGTTGTTACATTTGTTGCAGGAGTGCCTAAAACAATTTTAGAGTAAATTCAGATGACAATATACACAAAAAAACCAATATTCACTTATCAAAATGATAAAAAATTACCTTTCGAGCAATATCAATACGATACCAACGAAATTCAATTTACAAAATGCATGAACAAAAAAAAACCAAAAAGGAAAGAAGAAGAGGATGAAGACGAAAGGGAGGAGAAAGTAGAAGAGGAAGAGGGAGGAAGAGAAAGAGGAAGATGAGTAAGAGAAGGAATAAGAAGAGGAGGAGGAAGACGAGGAAAAGGAGGAGGACGAGGAGGAGGAGGAAGAGGAAGAAGAAGAAGAAGAAGAAGAGAAAGAAGAGGAAGAAGAGGAAGAGGAGGAAAATGAAGAGGACGAAGACGAAGAAGAGGAAGATGAAGAAGAGAAAAAAGAAAAAGGAGGAGGATGAGGAGGAGAAAGAGAAGATGATGATGAAGAAGAAGAAGAAGAAGAACAAGAACAACATCGCCAAGCTAGGAATGAAGAGGAGGATAATAATAAGAAGAATGTTCTAAAATAGTATAGTGACAACTTTTTGGTAACAAAAACATACATGAACCTTTAACCTATGGATATGTTCATGATTTGGACAAGTTCATGATGCCAAATTTATTAATTATTGTGATTGCTGACCACTCGAACACAAAAGATGAATCCTTGAAAAAGCTAATCACTTTTTGAATTTTATATTTAATTTCATAGCAGATGAAATTTTCTTCGTGCGTCTGTAGTGAAATCTGAGATGACATTACTGATGGATAAGGTTGTAAGTGTGTCTATTTATGCTAAAACAATAAGTGTTATTGATTATATAGTTGCGTGATAATGATAAACCTACATTAATATGTTATAGTATGTAAATATTTTTTGCAATGACAATTTATGTGACTAAATCCTAATTATTTAGTTGTTCACATTAGAAGCTTAATTACCTAAAATGATTTGGAACAAACGTACTACAAAGACATAATATAATTAAGAACCATTCTTGATGATTGTTGATTTGAATTAATCAAGCTCAACAATAGTTGCTTCTAGTTTTAGAATTGATATGGTCACCAAGTACAAGTTGAAATGAGAAAACCAAAATAGTAAAATACAAATTGTAGAAAATAATACTATCTTCCTCCAGTATAATATTACATCATTTATGAAAAAAAGTAAATTTAATTAAGCATGTATCAAGATAAAATAATGTTTCAGATAATTATCAGGTCAATTTGAACGATATTTCTATTGAATGTCAATATGTTAGGTGTGTTTGATACGAAGGAAAATATTTTTCATGAAATGTTACTTATGAAATTTATTTTTTCTATAGAAATTCTTTTTCAATATATATTAACCAACCAAACATGGGATAATTGGAAATGATTTTTCTCCATACCATACACACTGTAAGGGGTCGTTTGGTAGTGCGGTAGGAAAAAATAATGCATACATTAGCTTTGCATATTACTAATATCTTGTTTGATACACTTTTTCTACCTATGTATTAGCTATACACTATATTTATTATTATATTATGTATAACTAATATATGAAAATACGCAGTAATAGCAATGCATGATGTTATAATAAAGATACAATTGTTCATCAAAACCTTTTTCATATCCTTTTCACCATATTTGTAAAAGGTATTTTTGTAAGCAATATTTTCTCAGAAATTTTACAATGCATGTTATTTTTAATACATCAAACTAAACATTGATGGTATAAGAAATAATTTTAGCATAACTAATAACAACATTACTATAATACACCATACACCATATTCAATATTGGGTTTTGCTTCTAGTCAACATTCTCATTGTCCATTCCATAATTTTTTAATAGCAAATTGAAGGTTGAACCTAGAAATATTCTTTTTACTTGTTCATGTGTACTTATTAAAATGATGTAATATTCTTGAACTAGTCAAAAAAAAGAATTTAGTTGACAATGTTAAGCTTACACCATGCTATAAATATCATAATTTCTAGTCTAAGTTCCCTCACCAAGAAACAATTAATACAAAAGAAAAATTGTAAGCTAGCAAGACATGGCAAAAAATACAGTCTTCATTTCCCTACTCTTGTGTCTTCTCCTTGTCGCTGCTACTGGTAAGTCTACAACTTTTTAATCATGCTTCTTAGTCTCGAAGACGTAGATGAATTCAGATTTTGAAGTTTATAGATTTTTATAATGAATTTAAGTTGATATAGAAATATATCTAAAGTCTTATCGAATTGTGTGGTCATCTCATCTGAAAATTTAAATTATTTTAGCCAAGAGCACACCTCATGTAATGTTTTGTCACATCAACCCTAGATGTATAGATCCGATGCTATTTTATGGACCAAACAAACATGTGAAAACACATTTTTTTTTTGTGAAAACGAGATTTTTAATGCAAGACTACGTGCATGCTCAGGTATCATGTTAAATTGAATAACCTTCTCTTATCTAAAAGATGAAACTATTAGGAAAGTAAATTTTATTTGTTTATAATTAGTGGACAAAATTGTGCAACGAAATTATATGTTACATCATTATAAGTGTGTGGCCCGTAAATTGAAACACAAAATGTAATTTATGTACGGTTTATTACACCAAAGACTTTCAATAACCTATTGAAGATATCGAGAAAGTACCAAATGCTGAAGGTCACGAAGGTTATCGACTTACTGACTTTCGATGGACGTAGAGCCAATGAGTTTGGTCAAATAGTGTAATGAGTCTAAAGTTACAAAAGCCTTCGCCATCTAATTTAACCAGTAAATCCATCGTAGGAATAAGCTGCTCTGTTATAGCCATTTATGTACCTATAACGACTTGAGCAGCCGAAATATTGATATTGGGAGATTGGGGGATCAAATGAAACACTCATAAAAAATGAATAATTAATGACGAATCCAGTATCGTATCTAATAATTTTATAGCAAAATATCATATTTGAGGTAGCGATATTCAAATACCTATTCATGATCCTTAATTATATATTCTTGGTTTCCAATTTCCTTTTTCATGCAGAAATGCAGATGGCAGAAGGACATGATTGTGGGAAAAAAAGTGACAAGTGGCATGGGCCTTGCCAATATACTTTCAAATGTAACAAGCACTGCAAGCACTGGTTTGGACATAAATATCATGGAATTTGTAAGAAATACAAAGGGGGACACAATAATGATTGGTCTAATTATGCTTGCTATTGCTACTCTCCTTGCCATTAATCACAAGGAACATCAAAGTCTTAAGGACTAAAAATAATATATATACATAAATAAGAAGTTGATGTGATTTTGTTGGTTGTTTGTGTATGTGTGACAATGTAACAAGACATGTTAAGGCTCTAGCATGACTATTTTGGTAGAGCTTTTATGTTAGCTTTTTCATTATATATGTTTCTTTGTATTGGTGTTTTATCTGAACTATGGTGCTATATGAATAATACTAGTGGTTTTATTACATACTAGTGTTCGAATTAGATTATTTTTACGTGTTTTTAAGTTAAAATAGTTTTTAAGTACTTTTGAAGTCTTATTAAAAAGTGCTTTTATGCACTTGTTTTTTAATCAAAATAGCAAAAATAAGCAAAATGTCATAAGTTAGAAATCCTAACTTTATGACTTTTGTTTTATAAGCCAAAAACAATAAGCCAATCCAAACGATAGTCAAGTTTCCATTTACATAAAAAAAGGCCCAAATTAGCAAACAACAAAAATTATCTTCAACAAAATTGTCATATATATGTATATAGGTAATACTCCCTCCGTTTCACAAAGAATGACCTCCTTTCCTTTTTAGAATGTATAGATAGTGTACTCATGTATAAATGATGTATAATTATATATAAAAAATGTAAATACATTTATATACATTGTTAATATACAATAAAGTATACATTGCAGATCATTTTCTTCTCCAATCCGATCCCAACCAACTCGAATTTCCTCTAAACAATTTCAGAATTTAGATGCCAGTAATTTCTTTCGATTTTTTATTCTTTTAATATATTATTCGCTCAAGATGATTCATATTTGCGGCAAATCCAGCTCGTGATTTGCTTGTTAATTATGCATAATATCGAAACTTTTAAATCATGAATCGATGAAAAATTATAGAGGTGATTTCCATGATAATCAGCTCAAGTACATTTCATTGTAAGACAATCATTGTTTTTACATGCTTTTGTTGCACCACCATTTATGAGTTTCAACTTTCATGGAACAACTCATTTGCAAATTCGTTACTGCCACCTAGATTATATAATTATAGAATTTTTTATAGGATGCTAAAAGATACAAATTTGAAAAAGTGAAAATAATCACAGAAAAAAAGTGATGAAGACAAAGAACTTTCAATATATACCCTTGATATACTTATTAAAGGGCCTTAAACACATGAGCAAGAAGTTCATATACTTACGATGAACGATTCAAATTGTGAGAGTAGAGTTATGAGGTGTTACAACATGATTCGAGTCTTACCTTAGAAATTTCCGAAGTGTTACACAACCTCAACAATCAATCGTCATCTAAATTGATACAATTGATCGAAAATGATTCACTTGAAGCTATAATGACTATTTATCCTCTAAAATAACACAATTTACTTATACAGATTCAAACACAAATGGGATGGATTATTAGCCACATATCATAGATAGATGTATATATATCAATCATTTTACAGGAAAATCTTAGTAGCTTAGTTGGTTGGATGCTTGAACTCCCATCTTGTTGGTGAGGGTTTAATTCTCCATATTGTAATCCCCTTCCCATTTTCTCTATCCCCATTTTTTTAATTCTTTTAAAAAAAAAAAAGGAATCCATCGTTTGGTCATAGAGCAAAATTATACTCAAATTTTTCACTTTAAAATCAAGTTTAAATAATCCTACTTGTAAGGAAAATCATGTACATATACGTAGTGCATAATATATAATGAAATCAATATACTAAGACTTAATGCAAGCTTGTCTTTCACTCACATAAAGTCTAGTTAAAATCCTTGGTAAATTGAAAGTTTTCTCCAAAATTTCACACTTCAAAAGAATACTTAATTGGATAAATAGTCATACTTCAAATTGAATTATGAAAACTAGGCATACTTCAAAGAAGGTTTTCAAAAATAGGAATATTTCAGATTCTTGCTTACAATATAATCAATGTTATAGTCAAAAGATTGGAGTAGGAACCCACCTTAGGTGCTCGAGAGAAGACTTAAGATGTTTTCTCTCTAAATAGTCTGCTAAAAATGAAATAGAATGAAATTTATGAATTGAGGGGTATTTATAAAGCCTAGACCAAATTCAAGTATCTTGGATCGGTAATATAAGGAAGAGGGACATTGTCAATGATGTCACTCACATTTTTGTGTGGCGTAGATGAAGTGGAGGCTTGCCTCCGGAGACTTGTATGATAAGAAGGTACCACCTAAACTTAAAAGTAAATTCTATAAAGTAATGGTTAGACCATATTGTTGTACGAGGCTGAGTGTTGGCCAGTCAAAAACTTCCATGTGCGGAAGATGCAAGTTGTGGAAATATAATGAGGATGTTGATATAGATATGTGGGCACACTAGAAGTGATAAGATTAGGAATGCAAATATGTGTACAAGGTGGGAGTGACCTCTGTAGTGGAGAAGATGAGGGAAACAAGACTAGGATAATTTGGGCATGTGAAGAGGAGATATCCAGATACCCTAGTGAGAAGGTGCGAGAGGCTCGATATAGCGGCTACGATGAGAGGTAGAGGAGGAAGAAAAATTATTCGAGAGAGGTGATTAGACAGGACATGACGCAACTCCAGAGACATGATATTAGATATAGGACGGTGCAGAGGTTGCGTATTAGGGTAAAATAATGTTAGTAGGTTTGGAGTTGTTATCGTGATCTTCGAGGGATTAGGATTTTTGGTGTTTGTCGTTGTACTAGCCAAGTTATTATAATTCTTGCTTTGGGTATCTATCACCATCTGTTGATCACAATGTTTCGATTATCACACTATTTTATTTCTCTTGTTTCATTCTTGTTGGCTTTGCACTGTATAATAGCTATGATTTCTGCATTGTTCTCTTCTTCTTTGTAGTTCACAATTTGCTTCATTTGAGCAAAGGGTCTTTCAGAAACAACATCTCTACCTCCATGAGGTATGAGGTAATGGTAAGGTCTACATACACTCTATCCTTCCCAAACCCCAATTATTTATGTTATTGTTGTTGCTATCATCCTAATGTTTTGTCTTCTCTGTACGTGTGTTACACAAGATGAATGTCGAGTCATGTTGTTATTAATTTTTTCTTAGCGCTGCATGGTACTTTACACAACAAATATTTATATTGAAAACTTCATCAATTAATACTCATACAAAAGCATACAATACAATTTCTCATCACGCAAAGCTTGGCCAGAATGGTTACACACATAAATCAGCCTTATTACATTGTCACATACATAAAATAGGCAGCATCATAATTATTTGTTTACATAGATGAGATGTTGAAAGTTTCTTAGTAATGGCAAGGTGAGTAGCAGTAGCAAGCATATTTTGCCCAGTAATATTTGTGACCCCATGGTTTGTACTTCTTACAAATACCGTATTTAGCTCCATAGTAGTGTTTGCAATGATAACTACATTTGTAAGAGTATTGACAAGGTCCATTCCACTTGTCACTCTTTTTCCAACAGTATTTCCCTTCTGCCATTTGTATTTCTGCAAAGAATGAGAAAATTGAAAACTCATGGTATGTACTTGAGATAGCAATTTTTTCAGAATTTCCTAATAAATGCCCCCGTTTTATTTTACTGGACATGTTTGACTAGTCACAACGTTTAATAAAAAATGAACATTTTAAAATTTTGTAATTTTAAACAAATCATTATATTTGGTAGCTATAGAATCATGTCGACTCACCAGTTGCAGCAACAAGGAAGAGGCAAAAGAGGAGGGCGAGAAAAGTAGTGTACTTTGCCATAGCTCTTATTTTTTGTTGATTTCTTGGTGACGAAACAAACAATTGAAATGGTGGTATTTATAGTGTTGGAAACTCATATTGTCAACTTAATTCCATTTGATTT